GGAGCGGACCTGGACCCACTCCAGAAGGAAAGAACCCGCCTCCTCAGCAGGCCGGTCCGGCTGAAGCCACACTAACCCAGACATCAGTTTAAATGGGGTCGACCTAGTTAACTAGAAGGGGCGGCGATTGACCCTGACCGGGACGGGCTTGGATTGGTTGATTCTGCTGCTATTACAAAGGGAAGTCTTCCATTATAGGCCAGGAAAGTCAAGCGGGAACCCAAGGAGGGAAGAGGGCGGGACAAAGTTGTTACTCAGGCAACCGAGAGACGCGGAGCTCGCCACAGTCCATTTTCCGAGCCTAGCCAGCGCCCGGAAAACTGATCAAGGTGAGGAAACCCAAATCTCAGCAGGGGGAAAGACGAGGGTCCTTAGCTGCTTATCAGAGAAACTAAGGAGAACTCTAGATAGTTAGAACTCTGAGAGATACTCCGAAAGCCATAGTTGTACCGGGTAGAGAAGACCCGTTCCCTACATTCGGCTGTCCGAGACACTAGAAGCCAGACGCTGTTTTCGCAGAAGTCAATCTCTCAGGACATGAGTGATAGATGAGACCGTTGTAACATAAAAGAGAGGGGTCATCGACTATCAGAGGGCCAGAATGAACATCTGAAGGCTTCCCAACTGGCCTTTCTTTCAACTCACACGCCGGTTTTCCCTTCCCATTAAAATTTGAGAGTGTAAATCATGCTTCGTTATAGATAGATCTGGTGTTACGAATTAGAGCAGCCACTGTACCTTCAATTTTACATGTACAGGCATGATTTATGCTCAACTAGCATGCCTTGGATGGACATGTTGGGGGAGAGGGGAGTTGTAACACTGTCCAAACTGAATAAAATCTAGCCCTTGCCACTCACTACGTGAACAATGTCCTGTATTCTAGAACTTGAACAGTGGCCCGAGGATTCCAACGGAGTTTGGTGAGATCCTCTGACGAGTTGAAAGCAGTACGATCTGCGTCTAGTGCACTGGGAAATAGTGTAAAAAGACTTCAAAGCCTGATATTCACCAAGAGCTGACTGGGAGAGTAAAAGTATCATATATGTCGTTTGACGGTACCTGTCAAAAGGTAAGCAACTGTGTCAAAAATATTCAATCTGGGTAAGGAGAGAGAACGGAGTTTGACCAGAGATAGGGATTGTTTCTCCTAAGAGCTTCCTGCTGTGATAAGGATTCAGAACAGAGACGGTTTCCTAAGAAATGAAAAAAGGAAATAGTCTTTTGACTTGGGGAGAAATTTTCAAAGTAGTGAGAGAAAATGTGCCCAATCAAATGATTTGTGTGTGTGTGTGTGTGTGTGTGTGTGCGCGCGCGCGCGCGATAGAGGGTGCATGCCCTCGCCATAGAGAGACAGAGAGACAAAGACAGAGAGAGACAAAAGAACCCCTCCTCCATGGGGAAGCGTCAGCCTCAATCCCTCCTCCTTTATCTCCCCCTTCAGGATTTTAGGCGAACACACTGACTCCTGGATTCTTAAAATGTGGGGTGGGGGGGGACCAGCAGTTAGTATAATGGTATGTCGCTGGACTCCCATGTAGTCCACCGCGGTTTGAGTCCTGGACCCCGTGGCTTAAAACTCACGCCGGGCTCGTGTACGTGCGTGCCCAAGATCCCGAGAGGAGAAAAGAGGAGGAGGGATTGTGGAGTGGCCATCCCCCTGGGGGGTGATTTGTCACTTTCTGTCTCTCTGTCTCTCTCTGTCTTTCTGGCGAGCACACGTGCCCTATAGCAAAAACCTCTCCACCCCAAAAAAAAAAAAAAAAAAAAGTGGGGTGGGGGACTCTAACCAAGCAGTTAGCAGTGTGAAATCTTGCTTCCTTAGTCACTAGGTCATGGAGCGGTCCTCATATCCTTTTTAGACAGGAGGAATATGAGACCAGGATAGAGAAACAATGGGAAAAATTATTGATATTTACATTAGGTTTGTCTAAAATGTTGCGGTATACAGCTTTTGATAATTCAGGATGAGTTCAATAGAAATTAAAGATTTCCCTGTCCACGTAAAACTCACTTTTCAAAAAGGATTGAGATGGTATAGGTATAGACTTCTAATGAGTGACTAAAAAAGAGACAGAGAAAATATTAAATCAAAAGAGGCAAATTTCTTGACCTTTAAGTTTATGAAAGATTCCAGGCACTTTCAAAAAGCATGTTCCACTAGATACATTTTAAACTTGTAATAAAAACTCTAAATTATCATAATTACCTATGAGTTGGTACAACTGATGCAAGTGAAAGTCAGACGTAAAAAAGGAAACCATTTTGATGATATAAAGACACTCAAAATGAATTATTTTTAATAAGCAGGAAATCATTGATGAGTATATTTCAGGAAATCATTGATGAGTATATTTGTCAAAATGTTAAAAAAAATTAGAGAATCAATTAGCTAGTATAGTTGTTTGTTTTAATTTTTTAAAATTTATTTTATTTTATTTTTTTTAATTTGCCAGAGTGCATGCACTTGTGAGAGAGTCAGACAGTGAGTTGGAAAGTGACAAAACAATCCCCCATGGGAGATGGCCATGCTGAAATCCCTTCTCCATTTCTCCTTTCAGGATATTGGGTATGCACACATTGTACAAGGCATGTTTTACAAGCTGCTAGGTTCAGGGCTCAAACTGCGCAGTTGGCCATTTGGGATCCAGCCACCTTAACCTCCACACCACCTGCCAGTCCAGTACGTTATAATTTAATTTAGGCAGACATGATATTTATTTAGTGTTTTCAGAAGAATTTTAATGCCAGAATTTCTAAATAAGGCACTATATATAAAGTTACAGAAGAAATGCCAAATTTATTTAGAGAATAAATGGATTTTGGATATTTTGAAATCACTCAGCTATAAACAGTCCATATTTTTACATAGGGATATGTTTTTACCTATTTACTTAAGTTCCAGAAGGATACTATTTGGTGATTTTTTTTTTTATTACCCTGATTTTATGTACCATATATACATAAATTAATAAAATGTTATTTCTTTTCAAATAGTCTGTAATTCAGCATTTTGCACTGATTTAAGGCTTTTCTCCAAATAAAGTCAAAGAGCCATCCTGATTGTGTGTGTGTGTATAGTATTTTAGACAGGATCTCTTTGTGTCACCATTGTCCTGCCTCAGCCTCCCAAGTAGCTGGAAGAGCCATCCTTATTGATACTGTGGATGGAGGCAAATACAATAGAAAGCATGTTTCCAGCCTCACAACCAGAGTTTAACTTAATCCCAGGGTTACTGATACTATTTAAGTGACTTGGGTCTGGAGCTATTCTGATTAAATATTTTTAGTCCCTAACTGGCTCCATTGTTTTAGTAATGAGCTGGTTCCGGAGTTTCTCTCTCTTTACCTCATTGTGGCTAAGACAGATCCCTCTACCAAGACAGATCCCTCTACACCACCTCTAATTTGTGAAGTCCTCAAAGGCTCAGGTTGATGTGGGAAAATCAAAGGGTCTGTCTGAAAAATATTGCCATTAACATTAGCTTAACGAAAGAGAATGAGAGAAAGAAAATCAAAGGGCCTAGAAAATTTATTTTTTAAATAACAAAATATCAAGTAAATTATTTAGCAATATATTTTGTTTTTACTGAAAGTCTTACTAAAAATGTTCTATAGTTCAAATTTATTCTTGGCTTATTTATTTGACAGTGCCACATCCAAACATAGGCAATGTAGTTCAAATAGTTTTTCCTTTAAAAAATCTTTATACTACCTAAGTACTCTAGGCAAAAAGAATACCCTCCAAGGTAAGAAGGTGGGAAATTATAGGGTATGTTTATTAAGCAGTTCATTATTTAACAGAATGCAGGCTACATGTAGGAGAATAATAGGAAGGAAGGGCAAGAAAAACAGGTCCGGGCTATATCCTGAAGGACCTTGACTGCCAGACTAGGGATGACCTTGAATGTATATCAAATTTACAAAATAAAAGATATTCCTACAAGTAAATAACGCTGCATTTTAATTTTTAAAAGGCAAGGCATCTTGCTTTAGTTTTTCAAATGTGATCTATTTGTATCAAGTGAACTTTAATAAATATGTTTGTAATAAAGTTTATAAATTCGTAATTTGTTAAACTTCTAAAAAAACGAGTAGAATCTTCATTTCCATTGATTTTTTTAATTCCAGAGGATGTGTGTGCATGTATGCCCAAGAGAGGGGGTGGGGAGAGAGAGAGAGCACTTCCCCACCCAGTAAGACCTGGTCATTCCTTAATCCTTTTTATTTGAATTCCGTATCACATCAAGATCCTGGGCAGGCTTGTACCTAGTGCGTTTTTTCAATCCAACAGAGCCAGGACTTGTACCCTTGGCTAGCCATGTGGGATGCAATTTCCTCTATACAACCCCCTAACCACTGTGCCACAGGACTGATTCTCCATTGAATTTGGAAGTGTCTCCAAAAATATTACATAACTGTTTTTCTCTGGTGCTTTCTGAGCTTTTTAATTACTCACAAAACATTTGTAATTCTTTTGTTTCTAAAAATATAATATCAACAAACTTGCCATGATTTATTCTTTTGTGTTTACAGATTATTACTACATTTGATATGGTAAAAGCTATTTTGAAGTGCTCATTTTATTATATTTCTACTCCAATTTAGCTATAGCGTGAATCCATGTCATTTTATGTCAGCATAATTGGGAGTCCAGTCAGAATTTAAGAAGTCCAATTCCTATTGTAGTCAACTGTGAATACCAAATCAGTATAATTGTATATTGCTCTATGGAAATCTGTGTTTAAATGCAATGATATGAGTAATTATTAGTATAATTAGGGAAAGGGGCATTAGTTATTTATTAATTAACAATGACAAATGCAACAAACTTTTTAAAAAATAACTATTTCTTTAATTGTGACTATTATTATTATTGTTTGTTATAGGGCATGTGTGCTCACCAGAGAGAGAGAGAGAGAGAGGGAAAGTGAGAAAGCAAGCCACCAGGTCCAGGACTCTAACTGCGATAGACCATGTGGGAGTCGAGTGCCTTAATCACCATGCCACCTGCTGGCTCTGCAACAAACTTATTTATTTATGCCTTATGAATAAAAGAGTGAAATGTAAGGTGACGTTTTATGTGCAAGATCTTAAAGCATTGAGTGTCCTTGAAGTTAGGGACTGTCTTTTCTGTGTTTTTGTACAGCTCTCAGTACACTTTTGGTGCTTAATTGATGTTATATAATACCAATAACTACGTGAATTTTTAGATCTTTTTTTCAAAAGGCTTGTGTAAAATTCGGTTAATGTATAATGGTTGGTTTGAAGCTATCATGTAAAATCTGCCTTTCTCAATATTATTAAAAACAAACTGAAAAATGTGAAAAAGTTCAATTTCCAATATGTTTCAGATATATAAAATGTTACTAAAAAAGTGAATGATTTGCTTAAAAATTACAAACATGCATCCCAAAGAGTGGCATCTCCTTCAAAGTAGTCACTCTGATGGGCTCATTTACTTATACTACAATAATAATGTTGCAATTACTGATATTGTTTTCATTTTTAAAGTTCACTTATTTATTTCTTCTGTGAGAAACAAAGAGAGGCAAGCACTGCCAACAGTCTTTATACCTCAGTGCATCCCCAGTTTCAGCCAGCAAAGACCATAGACAAGCAAGCGCTCAGCGTGTAACAAAGAGGTCTTGGGATGCAAAATCAGGACTTTGCTATAGGGCCTCAGCATTGTGGAGCACTTGCGTTACTGCAGCTGGCCTCATATTACTTCTTAAATCACTCATTTATAATATCCTTGAAGCCGTTGCGCATTGTTTTGAATATCCTCGAAGAAGCAAATCTTCGTATTTGAAAGTAAATGTGATATCTACATGTATCTAAAAATCACTTGGAGACAAATGTGTTCTGTAATTAAACTGAATGATACCATAATGATACCTATTTTCTTGATGATACATACGAAGGCAATTCCACAAAAAAAGAAAAATCCCACAATATTTTGAGTATAATTTACATCAGTGTATAACCTTCCAAGGTGACTACTTCAGAATACAACATTCGTATGAATTTAATCTTGTTGTATTCAGTATTCATCAACTGCTGACTTTGTTCCAGCCTAGTTAATGAAGGCGTTCAGTCTACAGGTATAGCTCCCCACTGCCTCTCACCTAATGAGAATCAAGATAGAATTCTTTCCCAACTAACTGATAGGGATTTAGAATTAATATGCTTTCTCTAAATCCAGTATCCTGTGTACCCACTAAAACATAACCTTCCTTGATAATCTCCACTGTGTTCAGGTGACATGAGAAAGCCCCTGATGCAACACCTGGTTTGTTTTCTCTTTTCCAGCTGGAATTTTGAGCCCTACCCTATTCTGAACCTTTAGTTTCCAACTCCCTCATAATCCTCAAGAACTAGACTCTCTTTTACTCCCCATCATGGGTCAAGGTCTTTCACTCTAAATAGGCCTCCCTGTTATCACAACTATTTAACCTTTCTTCCTTGAAGAAACAAACTGCTGACATGTCCCTGCCAAACAGATAAGACCACAGGAATAGCAACTCTGACTGCTCCCTCAAACATGATACTTGGATTTTCTGAATACCCTTCTTATAGGCTAGCTTTACTGATCCTGGTTTATTGTCCTCTCAGCAGCCCACCATTGAGCTCTCAGAAGCCTCATGATCAGCTATCTATGAGTATTGGTACTAGGTGCCAATATTTTTACATTATATACATTTTATAGAGCTTTTTAATATTTTAGCAAACTCTTTCACCTACACTGTATAATTTGACCATTCCAAAAATTTTATGAGTAAGTAATGCTAGTATAATAAGCCATTTATCTTATATTTGGTTTGTAAATGTCTCATTTGTACAATTTTAGCTCAAAATACTACTTACATCATTGCATCTGGCACCTGGATGCATTTTTTTCCTTTCAATGCCAAAGGTAAAAAAAAAAGTTTCAATAAACTTTTTGCTTTTACTGTTAGGTAAATATTTAATGAACACATAATCAACTAGGAATTTTAAAATGTAAATAGGAGCCTCTTTGTTTAATTTAATATGTGTCAATTATTCATTTCCATAGCAGACTAACAGATCATACTGTGTGAGAAGATTGTTTTATCACCTTTTATTTCACCTTTTCCAATTTAATGAGTTTCCAATGTAATGAGTTTTATCATTAACTTATTCATCATCATTATTAGAAGTGATATTCATGCCTAGCAAAATTAAACTTTTAAAGAACTAATAATAGCTAACATTTGTTGAGTGTTTACTATGTGCCAGGCACTGTTCCAAGCTCTTTTACGTGTATTAAGCTACTTAATCCTTTTAACAGCACTAAGAGATAGACACTTTTATAATACTCATTTTACAAATAAAGAAAATTAGGTCTTGAGTTAAAACAATGTGCCGAAATCACAGAGCTAAGAAGTAAATGATGGATACAAATGCAAGCGGTGTAACTGCCGAACTCTTCACCACTTTGATTGACAGCCTCTATGCTAGAGGTACAGAGCAATTCAATATTTAACATCTATGATAGGTATTAAGATCAATTTTGTGTTTAAAAAGAAATTAAAAATAATTGTAAAACATAATAAGAAAGTAGAAGATTTGTAAAACAGTGTTTGCATGGAGAATTATTTTGAAAGATGACTATACTAGTACACGTTTGAGAATTCCTTTGTATTACTGTTCCATGCACAATGCAAAAATCTTTGTGGATCATTTAATAAAAGTTCTAATATGTCTTGTAAGTTAATTTTATAAAGTAATTTTTTTAAAAAAAACATAAGCAAATGGGCCAGCAGGTTGCATGGAAGTTAAGGCTCTGAATCCCATATGGCTGATTCAGCAGTTTTTGTCCTAGATCCTGTGACTCGAGAATCATATTGGGTACATGTACATGAGTGCCCAAAGTCCCAAGAGGAGACTGGAGGAGAAGAGATTGTGGCACGACTATTCCTCCTGAGGGGTTATTTCTCACTTTCTGTCTCTCTCTTTCTTTTTCTCTCTCTGGCAAGCACATGCTCTCTCTCACAAATAGTGAGAAGAAAAAAATAAAAAAGCAGAAGTTTAGAAAAAAATTCCTGTTATATTTATGCCCGAATCACTAACAGTAAGCCCAATTCAGGTAACTCATTAAAGTCTGATATTTCTAAGATTTTTAAAGATCCTAAATTTCTTATTCTTAATACAACTGAAGAGATTATTTAAAAGATTGATATCTGGATGGTAGGAATACAGGTAGTTGTAATTTTCTTCTTTATATATATATATATATATTAGGTTTTTACCATAAGACACATGCACTCACTGGAGAGAGGCAGAGAGAGGGAAAATGAGAAATCACTGGGTGTGAGATTCAAACCACGGGGTTCAGAACTCAAACCACAGTCAGCCACGTGGGAGTCCAGCGCCTTAAGCACCACACCACCTGTTGACCCCCTTATTTATACTTTTAATGTATTATTTCCTAAACTTTCCACAATAAACTTAGAGCTTCACTGTTATAATCACAAGACAAGTATTTCACATGTGTGACCTTTCACTGAAGTCAATAAACCAACCCATTAGAGTTCTCAAATGGCAATACAATGCTAGGCATCATCAAGGGTTAATTAAGAATTGACTAAAGTAAAAGGTACAGGCCTGACTTAGACAAAAGTGAGTAAGGGTCATCAGGGCACATTCCCCAAGCAACATCTTTTTCAGTTCACTCAATGAAACATACAGCCTAAACAGCATATAAAAGATAGAAAAAAGAGAGAGATAATCTTAAAAAAAAAAAACACATTCCCAAATAGTGATACATAATCTACATGATGTACATATATTTTCTCTAGAGGTAGGGCTAAAAAATCTTTTAAACAACTCTCCCAAGTGATTCTTAAGCAAACTAAAACCTGAGAATTATTCTTGCGAGATTGAATGCAAAGTTTTAGTAAGGAAGACTGAATGTTTGAGTTTACTTGCTGCCCCACGTCTCTGAGTTAGAAAAATACACATACTTGAAGAAATTTACAAGGATTTTTCAAAGAATAAGAGTCTACAAAGTGCCTGGGAAAGAAGGGAAATAAAAGCATTTTTTTTTAAAAAGTTTGTGTCTTAAAGAAAAGAAAAAAGTGAAAATATCTCTTTCTGATTATCTTCTTCCTCAGAATATGGAATCTGAAACTACAGAAACTGAAAATATGGAGACGGAAAACACAGAATCTGAAAATATGGAAATTGAGGCTATTACTTCAGTTTCTGCTCTGCAAGCCCTCTCTAAACTACTCAATACTGAAGAAGAGGATCCTTTTGACTTTGAACAGGTGGCCAGATACTTAAGAGATGAATTAGTTCTTTTCATGGGATGCTGTGGAACTGTATTTGAACAACTTGTTCCCACCTTGCTGTGGGAGCAGGGCTGTGTCATCTGATATAGTCACAGGAGACTGCAGAGCTGATTATTCATGAGAGTATAACCTCTAGTACATTTCTAGCAAACATAATTATATTTTTTCTAAACCACCTGAACACTGAATAGGAAAATCGTTCTGTAACTATGGTAGCAATAGCCACATTTCAAAATGTTTGTCATTTATATTTATGGCCAAAGAATGCTTGACAACCCTTGCAAAGAGTGTTCACTAAGACTGTTTTAGCCTAGATAATATTTCTATGAGACAAATATTGTTGATGCTACTGTATTAATTGGACCCCAAGCACTAGTCTCTTAATTTTTTGAAATTTCTCTACATGCAAAAACAGAATAGAAAATATTTTGAGCCAAATTGCAAGACAAACTAGCTTCAGCTTACTTAAATTGAGTTCCCTGTACATGCTCAAATAGAGCTATGCAGTCTAATTAGTTGAGTAGTATTTGGGGTCAGGACAGGTAATGACAGCAGGGCTTGCAGCAACAGGATGGACTTAATTTGGGGTAGAAGAGTTCCTGAATTGACCCTAGCCACTTTAAGGTTACAGTGTACTTTTACATAACTCCTTGCTTTCCATTCTCCTACCCTTTAAATATCAGTGAAACCTGGCTGTCAGATGATAAGACAAACAAAATTTGGGGCAGAAATCCCATAACAGAGTATCTTGATGTGCATAAAATTGTTTTAGTGAAGTTTTTGTGATTATGTCCAGATTACCATAAATAAACTATCTTCCATGAACATACAATATTGGTTTACTTCTCCCAAAATTCTCTTTTTGCTACAATGTGAAAAAACAAGTATATTCATTTTTTCTTTTTCTTTTCTTTTTTTTTTTTGTGAGGTTTTTACCATAGGGCGTGTGTGCTCACCAGAAAGACAGAGAGAGACAGAGAGATGGAAAGCGAGAAATCATGTCCCCCCCCGCCCCCGAGGGGATCTTGTGCATACATGCACAAGTGCTCAGTGTGAGTTTAAGTCACCGGGTCTGGGACTCGAACCACGGTTGACTACATGGGAATCCAGCGACATAACCATTATGCCAACTGCTGTTTTTTTTTTTTCCATAGGCTATGTGCACTCATCAGAGAGATAGAGAGAGACAGTGAGAGGGAAAGTGAGAAATCACTCCCCAGGGAGTGTGGCCATGCCACAATGCCCTCTCCTCCATTCTCCTCCTGGAATTTTGGGCATGCATGCACACATGCATAGTGTGATTTTCAAGCTGCTAGGTCTCGGACGCAAACCAATTGGCCATATAGGAGTCCAGTGCCTTAGCTGCCACACCACCCACTGGCCCTGAACAAGTATATTCTTACTAGGCTCAAATTCAGTGACTCATATGGACACTGAGTTGAGTTTCTATCCTCCAGGAAGAACTTAGATGAAATAGAGCCTAATTAAATCAAATATGAAATCAAAATAAATGTATAGAACAGAGGAACTGAGTCAGTTCAGAGTCAGGATTAGGAACTAAGGAACTAGGAAGTTTTAGTCAAGGAAAAGTCTTAGTAGAGGCCAAATAAATAAAGAAAAACAGGACATTAATAACAACATTGAATATATGCTACAAATGGGACACAGGAGAAAAGGTTATGAAGTTGGAAAGGCAAGTTCTATGCTGCTACTTCTGTTCAAATAGCAGAATGATAATTTTTCTGGAGCCTACATCCTGGGAAAGGTAGAAATATGCAATATAGAAAAAGTATATTAAGTGCTTGAGAAACAGTGATCTTGAATAAAGTGAAGTGAAACTTGCAACTGAAGCACATTCAGAGATAAGGATTTATCCCATTATGAAGTCTGCTCTCTTTGGCATTTATATTTGGAGATGTTTATTTGCAAATAAAGGTGTTCCTGGGAGGAAAAATGAGTGCTATGTAACAGAGACTAATGTCATTTTACTGGATTATAGAATTTATAAAGGAGAATTAGTAATGTATGATTCTACATATCTGGGCAATTTTGAGATAGTTGGTCATTCAGACACTACAGTACAGATATCATTAGATGTATAGAATTAAAGTATCAGCACAGTGGAAGAATAATTAATGTTTCTAATGAACTATTAAATTTTCCAGGAGAGAAACTGTTTTTCATTTTTTAACATGTATTAATCTTGGTAACTGCAGAATGATTGCAAGAGTGATGTGTTTTTGAAAATAACACCTGAAAACAGAAGATAACTGTTGCATACACATTGGTTCATTTACACTATACTACCCCTCTTCTACACGAATTGTTAAGAATCTGAGAGACTGAGAAGAGAGTGTGTGTCTATTATTTTTCAAACTCGTGAAGGGATCGTAAGACCTGTGGGGAATAAGATTCACTACTCTTCGCAGACATTTTAACAAGGATGTTCTAACTCTCTTACATATTGCTAAGTGGCATGAATTGCAGTGATAAATTGCTCAGATAATTGGCTGTGGATTCATGGTAGAAACTCAGATGATGTTCTTACAGAAAACAATTGCCAGATGGTTTTTAATGTTTTTATTATCCTATTCCATCTTTTCACTTGAAATTTTTATTTTTAATTATTTATTTTCATTAAGTTAATAAATTAAAACTCCCCTCTGTTCTGCTATGGAAAGCATACCAATTTTTGTCAAAAATCATCAAGAATTTTTACCTACTGATTTTAATGTTCTGTGGAAGGAGCCACTCGACAAAACAAGAGGCCCTTAATGTTCCCGGATATGCTTTATCCTGATTGACTGTTAGTGTTTTGATGATTAATATAATTTAAGAAAAGTACTACACATTTGTATGACCTTACTGCTTAAAAAGAGAAATTAAAATGTCCAGAACAATGTCTTGGGATTAAAAAAAAAAGCCTATAACATCTTAACCGCAGACATAGCACTTTTGAAACTTCTTTTTGGAAAGGAATAGTTACTGTCTCAGACACTGTTGAAATGTTATAGATTAATTTCTGATTTATAACTGTTGGAATAGTTTAGCATAATAAAGACCCAGGTGAGCTTTTCCACCAGCTTTCAAGGACAGACACTACTCTCCTTGCATGAATAGGACATTTTAACTCTGGTATATGTCTGAAGTCATAGGAGATAAGGGCAGGAGCCTGAGAAAGCAGAGCTAGAAGTGTTAGTTTGCCAGAATTCGAGGAGACAAAAATTTTTTGACTGCCAACAGTGAAGTTAATTGGAAACACAGAGTATGAAATTAGCAAAAATAATTAGTAAGAAATTCAGATTTTCTTGAAATATCAAAGAGTCCCTAAGAGGGACCGAAGAAGTGGCAAGTATATTCATTTTTTCTTTTTCTTTTCTTTTTTTTTTTTGTGAGGTTTTTACCATAGGGCGTGTGTGCTCACCAGAAAGACAGAGAGAGACAGAGAGATGGAAAGCGAGAAATCATGTCCCCCCCCGCCCCCGAGGGGATCTTGTGCATACATGCACAAGTGCTCAGTGTGAGTTTAAGTCACCGGGTCTGGGACTCGAACCACGGTTGACTACATGGGAATCCAGCGACATAACCATTATGCCAACTGCTGTTTTTTTTTTTTCCATAGGCTATGTGCACTCATCAGAGAGATAGAGAGAGACAGTGAGAGGGAAAGTGAGAAATCACTCCCCAGGGAGTGTGGCCATGCCACAATGCCCTCTCCTCCATTCTCCTCCTGGAATTTTGGGCATGCATGCACACATGCATAGTGTGATTTTCAAGCTGCTAGGTCTCGGACGCAAACCAATTGGCCATATAGGAGTCCAGTGCCTTAGCTGCCACACCACCCACTGGCCCTGAACAAGTATATTCTTACTAGGCTCAAATTCAGTGACTCATATGGACACTGAGTTGAGTTTCTATCCTCCAGGAAGAACTTAGATGAAATAGAGCCTAATTAAATCAAATATGAAATCAAAATAAATGTATAGAACAGAGGAACTGAGTCAGTTCAGAGTCAGGATTAGGAACTAAGGAACTAGGAAGTTTTAGTCAAGGAAAAGTCTTAGTAGAGGCCAAATAAATAAAGAAAAACAGGACATTAATAACAACATTGAATATATGCTACAAATGGGACACAGGAGAAAAGGTTATGAAGTTGGAAAGGCAAGTTCTATGCTGCTACTTCTGTTCAAATAGCAGAATGATAATTTTTCTGGAGCCTACATCCTGGGAAAGGTAGAAATATGCAATATAGAAAAAGTATATTAAGTGCTTGAGAAACAGTGATCTTGAATAAAGTGAAGTGAAACTTGCAACTGAAGCACATTCAGAGATAAGGATTTATCCCATTATGAATTCTTCTCTCTTTGGCATTTATATTTGGAGATGTTTATTTGCAAATAAAGGTGTTCCTGGGAGGAAAAATGAGTGCTATGTAACAGAGACTAATGTCATTTTACTGGATTATAGAATTTATAAAGGAGAATTAGTAATGTATGATTCTACATATCTGGGCAATTTTGAGATAGTTGGTCATTCAGACACTACAGTACAGATATCATTAGATGTATAGAATTAAAGTATCAGCACAGTGGAAGAATAATTAATGTTTCTAATGAACTATTAAATTTTCCAGGAGAGAAACTGTTTTTCATTTTTTACCATGTATTAATCTTGGTAACTGCAGAATGATTGCAAGAGTGATGTGTTTTTGAAAATAACACCTGAAAACAGAAGATAACTGTTGCATACACATTGGTTCATTTACACTATACTACCCCTCTTCTACACGAATTGTTAAGAATCTGAGAGACTGAGAAGAGAGTGTGTGTCTATTATTTTTCAAACTCGTGAAGGGATCGTAAGACCTGTGGGGAATAAGATTCACTACTCTTCGCAGACATTTTAACAAGGATGTTCTAACTCTCTTACATATTGCTAAGTGGCATGAATTGCAGTGATAAATTGCTCAGATAATTGGCTGTGGATTCATGGTAGAAACTCAGATGATGTTCTTACAGAAAACAATTGCCAGATGGTTTTTAAGGTTTTTATTATCCTATTCCATCTTTTCACTTGAAATTTTTATTTTTAATTATTTATTTTCATTAAGTTAATAAATTAAAACTCCCCTCTCTTCTGCTATTGAAAGCATACCAATTTTTGTCAAAAATCATCAAGAATTTTTACCTACTGATTTTAATGTTCTGTGGAAGGAGCCACTCGACAAAACAAGAGGCCCTTAATGTTCCCGGATATGCTTTATCCTGATTGACTGTTAGTGTTTTGATGATTAATATAATTTAAGAAAAGTACTACACATTTGTATGACCTTACTGCTTAAAAAGAGAAATTAAAATGTCCAGAACAATGTCTTGGGATTAAAAAAAAAAGCCTATAACATCTTAACCGCAGACATAGCACTTTTGAAACTTCTTTTTGGAAAGGAATAGTTACTGTCTCAGACACTGTTGAAATGTTATAGATTAATTTCTGATTTATAACTGTTGGAATAGTTTAGCATAATAAAGACCCAGGTGAGCTTTTCCACCAGCTTTCAAGGACAGACACTACTCTCCTTGCATGAATAGGACATTTTAACTCTGGTATATGTCTGAAGTCATAGGAGATAAGGGCAGGAGCCTGAGAAAGCAGAGCTAGAAGTGTTAGTTTGCCAGAATTCGAGGAGACAAAAATTTTTTGACTGCCAACAGTGAAGTTAATTGGAAACACAGAGTATGAAATTAGCAAAAATAATTAGTAAGAAATTCAGATTTTCTTGAAATATCAAAGAGTCCCTAAGAGGGACCGAAGAAGTGGTTGCCCCTGTACACATGGTATAATATCGGTTGTACTTAGCTGGAGTTCATTCTTGTATTTGTGAGTCAGGGTCAGTAGTGTAGGGGTGTGAACACTTATGCAGAAAATTGCAAAATAAACTTCTACTTCTATGAAGACTGAAGTGGCTCAGCATGTATTTGACACTATTAATTAATTGTCATGAGGCACTGGGGTAGAGAAGTGTTTCCTGCTCACAGTGAAAAGAAGTAAAAGCAGTTATCAAGGCTTTTGAATGGATCATTTAAAATCTAAATACTTAGCTTCTATTTAATGGCTAGTTTTTATTTCTGTAAAACTTTTCCATACTTCTGTCCCTCATCTAACTATGACCAGATACTGCCAAAACTCCAAAGTGTTGATACTTTTATACTAATACTTGGTTCTAACCTTCATAGAGATGAATATGGCTCATTCACTTATCCCCAGGGATACATGATTCACTGAGCTGGAACTGAAGATTTAGTCTGACCAAAGATCAATTCTACTCTGGAGTCTATTAAACAAAATACTTTTTAAAAGGACAAGGATAGCACATTCAAAAACGTACTAGGCATTTATCTCTCTGTTGTATAACAATGATGTTTAATTAAACTGAAAAGCTCTGAGGCTTTTTTGAATGGAAAGCTTATCAAATTCAAAAGTGTTAGTAGTCATTCAAATATTATAGTAATTACAGAACGTTGGACCTTTCTTCTTCTCCCTCAGTCAAATTGTTCATCTACTGTTGGAGCCATGGGTCCTGGGAATATTGGACCACCGAAAGTAGAAAGCCTCAAAGGTAAGGTGTTTTTTAAAAAAATTATTGATTTAATTTTATTTATGATTATTACCTTTTAATTTTCTATAGGGCACACGTGCTCACCAAAAAGGGACAGAAAAAGAAAGAGAGAAAATGAGATAACAAGCTGCCAGATCCAGGACTTGAACTGCAGTCAGTCATGTGGGAGTCCAGTGCCCTTACCAGCACACCACCTGCTGGCCTTGGTAAGTTTTTTAATAAACCAGTATGGATCAATATAATAAATATATCTTTTCTTTGATAGCAAAGTTATAAAGAGATTAATACAAATTAACACTAGTACTTATTAAGATGAACTAAATAACAATGCATTGTATACTCGAAAATTGCTAAGAGTAGATACTATGTGTTCTCGCCACACAGGTAAGTCTAAGGTAATACATGTGTTAATTAGCTTGAGTTAGCCAGTTCACAATATATACATATTTCAAAATATCATGTTGTACATGTAAATATATAGAATTTTATTTGTCAATTAAATTTTGAAAAGAAAGAAATGATGTAAAATAAACATGGAAATGATGAACAGCCATTTACATATAAAGATGCTGTTTTTACTCTACTACTGAAGGTAAGTATTTTTCATAATAATGGAAGTTACCTTAAATTTACCAATTTACCTTAAATTGTCTACATTTTTTTGGCGTATTTTATGAGATGGAAGACTAAGAAAGTTGATGTGATTAAATTGTTTTTATATTTTAATTTTTCAAAGGTTTTTGCCAGAGAAGAGAGAGACAGAGAGGAGTAGTGAGAGGGAAAGTGAGAAATCACCCTTGGAGGGAAAGTCATGCCACAACTCCTTTTTCTCCATTCTCCTCCTGGAATTTTGGACACGCACACACGTGCACCTGGTGTAGTTTTCAAGTCTGCAGAGCTGGGACTCAAACCACTGGGCCATGGAGGAGTTCAGAATCTTAACCATTATACCACCTGCTGACCCCATCTTTTTTTTTTTTTAATGTCACCAAGATTTTCCTTCACCTTCTACCCTCATGTATTCTGGCAAGTTCTCAGAATTCATTAATTTATTCATTCAATAATTGTTTATTGAGAACTTATTATGTAGCAGATGGTAGATCATCTCTGAGACTATAGTGGCTGGAGATCAATATAGAGAGAGTCCCTACCCTGATTGACATACTAGACTTTTGGAGGAGAAAATAAAACTAATAACTACACAATTTTATTTTATGATGAAATGCTTATAAATTAAAGTCCATTGGGCTACTTATAAAATCACAGGTCTAACAAACGAGAATAAATAAATTTTAAAATGTTTTCCAGCATTTTGGTCTATACATTTTCACAGAGTTGAACATTTCATAAATCTTTAAAAATTTAATTCTGCAGTTCATGAACAGAGTTACTAGAGAATGGACAGAGAGAAGTGAATTGCATCCATCAATTTAGCTAATTATGAAAGATATTATCTGGGAAAATGTTTAAAATAATGGCTAAAATGAGGTCTGAGGATGGTTTTTAAATATCAATTATCATTGCTGTACATACTCAAGAGGCTATTTGCCTTAGTTGAGAGATATTCGCTCCATGGCAGACTAGTTCAATTCTGAATATATTTCTGTGCTGCCTGTATTTCTGATAATGTACATCTAATAATCTCTAAATTCTGAGGGCAATGAGTCATGTGTAAAATGTTAAATATAAATTTGTTTTTAGGCTTTGCAAAGCTTACGCTATATAGATAGAAGCAGATAAATTTTAAAAGAATTGGCAGTATTGTAGACCTGACAATTGGGTACACTTTGGGGAATACTTAAAAGGACTCAAAATAATGTTCTGCACCAAATACGAGTCTCCATTTGATTCTATAATAGTTATAACAAATGTAAACTGAGTTTTTAGAAGCTTACTACAACCTATCTACTTTTTTTTTTTTTTTTAGTTTTTTACCTTAGGGAGGGAGCTTTACTTGGAA